TACGTTTTACAATTTTGTAAATATGTTCTGCTTTATTTTTACAATCTACTTAATTATATCTCAATTTTATTTTTACATTGGAGAATGCACGAAGGAGAGACGGTAATAAATTCCTGTATACGCGGTGAAAATTTCTGATTGGTTATACGAGTAGAAATTAGAAATAATCTGATCCAATTTTTCTTCAAAGCGTGACATAATGTATGTTAACCGTAATCCGATCGTTCGTCGTATTCGCTGTTGTGCTGGTTTCCGGTCGCGGACACCGGACATTGGCATCCTGAATCCGGCCGATTCGGTTTCACTCGCGATAATCAGCGTCAGGATAAAGAAACCCGATGTAAAAATTTATGAAAAATGTCTCTCTTACATCGATAGAGGTAGACTCAAGTTATACTAATCGTTATTAATGACCAAAAGTCACAAGTCATTTGAGTTACTGCGATATTAATCATCAAGAAGGATTGACGCAGAAGGCAATAACAAAATGTCGAGACAATCCTTCGAGATTAAATTTGCTTATCTTCTTTCGAAATTTATATAAACATAGCAAGAAAGTAATTAACGACAATTACAGCAACGGCAGTCGCGATATGCTCTAGACGACTCGAGGAAACTTTCCTTTGGCTAATCGTTGTTGTTTGTTAACAAGCCTAGTGTCTTGTGTTTCACCGTAAATTTATCGATCCGTTTGTTCGTCGGACTTTTAATGGAAAGTTTGGCGACGGCAAATTACGGCTTGCGCCTTGTCCGGAAAGCTCGACGAGCTATATCGCGAAAGCGAGTGATGTTGTCAAGACAACTTTCCTAACTTGAGTTCTGATTTGAACACAGAAAATCTACGTCTGGCGTCTCTGACGTCTAGGCAGACGACCGACCGTATAAAATTAAGACCGTATAAAAAAAAAAAAAAAAAAAAAAATAAAAAGAGAAAAAGAGAAAAGAAGAGAAAAAAAATTCATAAAAAAGAAATCCTACAAGCATGTGCGAGCTAATGTTATCGATGAGTTATGAAAATATCCTTGGAAGCGACGATCGCGCCAAATAATCTCGGCCTCGAAGTGCCTTTCCAAATAATTGTGAAACATTCATAATTAATCATCGCGCCACGGCAAATGAATAAATTCATTACGATTGTGTTGCCGCGCGGCGAGTAACAGGAAACGCGGTCGAGAAACCGCGAATTTAATTTCCCGCTGCGCGGGAAGTAAATGAGTAAGATGCCCTTTGAGCCACGCGGCCCGTTCGTGGCAGTCGTCACGGTGCTGACCGCTGTAGAGCAGGCGTTTCATTTCAAGTCCATTAATGGCATTTATCTCTCTTTAACCGCGGCGGACCTCGTCGGGAGCGGGAGCGATATCGCCTTGAGTGGGTACAACGAGGAGAAAGTACTGAAATCGACTTCCTCGACGTTTGCCCACCGATTCGGCCAATTAAAACACCCGGGACAATAAACAAAAGCCCGTACTTGATTACGTTGCTAACGTTATTTACTGAAAGTTACATGTCAGCATGTAACACGGGGACTCTGTTACGATAATTAATAGCGTTTTGAAACGCCTGTTAATCTCAGTGATGTTTAACTTCCAGTCTTGTAGGTAAGAATAAATGAAAAACGAAAAGAGTTCTAACTTTTATCGGATTAATTCGATCGTAGAGCTTTTTAGAGCGCACGACAGAAGTTTTTTTTTTTTTAACAGAAGCTTGAAAGTCGGGCCTGCATGAGGTGCGGGACAATTGTTCAAAGGATTGTCCGTCGAGAAAAATCTTTTAAACAGAAGTAAATCCACGGTACAGATATAAAAATTCTATCGTGCTCGGTGCTCTTTTATTTTCCGCAATTAAAAGATTTCCTTAAAAAAGGTGTCCACGGGATTAAAAAATTCTTAAATTATTCACGCGTAAAAAAGTCCGTGTAAAAACTCGACTCGACGTTTGTTTTCGGGCGACTGTTAATCGGTACATCAAACGATTAATTCGCGCGCAGCAGAAACTCGCTTGGAAATAACTTCTACAAACGGTCTGGACCAAACGGCATTTGATTTCGAGACGAAATACGAGAACCACGTCGGCGGTTCGAACGCTATGGAGGCGCTCGACCGGCGGCGGTATTGATCCGCGGGGGTCACCTTTGCCCCACCTCGACACGGGACCAACCTCCAAATCCACCCCTGCCCTGCCCTTCAGACCCTCGCAGCCTCGAGTCCTCACGACCGACGGGCGCGCTACCACGAGCTCCTTCTGTAAAAGAGAACCAAAAATATCCTGGCAAAATTCCAACCTGCGTTCGAGATTTCTCCTTACACGCTGATAAGAAAACCCCTTGAAAATGTCGGATTAAAACATATAGTCAAGCATATACGAGACAGCAGATTCACGTGAAAACACGCAAAAACCTTACCTACTAAACGAACATGTAAAGTGCAATACTCTATAATTTTTAATTTCGCAACCTGATGTTTATCGCGTTAATAATAAAAGAAAATATGCGAAATTCAGAACACCATCCTTATTAGGTTTAGAGAGAGACAGGATTTGGATTATGAAAAGGTTCGCTGATGATCGATCGAGTCTCTTTTGTACAATGACAATTCTTTTTCGCTTGGACGTAAAGCAGACGGTGTAATACAATACGCTTTTCGAAATTACGAAGAGTCTAGCGACGTAACATCAATGTTTTTTCGAAAACAGTCGCACGCGAATGTCTGATAAATAAAGATGTGCCCCTACGAGGCTGGCTGCAACTGTTGTAAGGTCCTGCAAACGTGCACGTCTGTATGGCGAATAAATATTTGCTACCAACGCGATGACG